CAGTTTTTGTGCACAGTTTACCACATGGTGTTGGAATTTGTGTGAATGGGTGTGGTTCCTAGTAAATCACTCTGGAAAGTTAGGGTTAAAAGACTGAGGATGGTTCCTAGTACAAAGGCCTAGGGACTTGGGGTTATAGTTCTTACCTCTTTTTGAACAGCACCGTTTCTTACGTATTACGAGTCCCACTGATGAAAAAAAGCAGTAAGTCCAGGACAGGCATTATTACATAAAATATTAATGGAGGATGTAAACGCATGACCATAATTGAAAAAATAATGCAATGATTAAGAAGGACCTGATACGAACAGGACAGAATTTTACCCCATCTCGCAGTGCAAACATGTGTACATACATTTTTACCAATCATACCATAGAATGTGCATAAGTTGAAATCCAAGTCTGAGAGACCTTTTACACTCAGCATATTTGGCAAGGGGCATAATGATGAAAGTACATTTTAATTATTCTCTTGAATATAGGATTGTAAGGACAGCACGACAAATGTTGGAAGCAAATCTTGTCACAGTGCACAATCCGACAACAAACAACTATTGTGTAAGGCCAGTTTTACATCATTTTCTGTTCGCAAGTATATACAAACGGACGACTAAAACAAAGTCTGCTCCTGTGTTTTTTTGGGGGGGGGGGCTTTGGGGTTTTTTTGGTACATACATGTATACACTGCATTAAATGCATCAAAACTACTGCAGCGTAGCTGGGTCACTCCAGGAAGTTCGGGCACAGTTTGTGACGCCGTCCCTTGTTACATCAGTGAAAAGAAATGTCTTTTTTCCTTAAATTGATATTGTTCTAAATCTTGCTAGGTTCTTGTAGTGGTGTGCTTCATATTTGCCGAATAACAATGACTTAATCTGTTGTAATGTGAAAATAAATGGCAATAAAAGTTACCGATGTAACAAGGGACGCTGTCACAAACTGTGCCCGAACTGCAAGGAATGACCCAGTTCCATTTAATTATAACCTGTGCTGTGCTGTGCACAATCCCAAAATCGTTTGTAGGTTCATTCCAGGTGATTACTTTCTAGACAGATCATGATAAAATCTAGATCACTATGGAAACTTAAGTTTATGTGTCTAACCGTCTAGATTACACAGAACTGTGACTGCAGTCATAGACCTACACAGATATCACTTTTTGTCTTACAAGTAAGCAGACGCATGTATGGTACTTCACTCACCGATTCCAACAACAACGCCCAAAGCCGAAATCACAACTGGTATCAGCCACTTCGCAAGCTCACTTAATTCATTTCCTGCTGAGGTGGGGGCGAGTGTTGTGTAAAACGTTGGTTCATACTGTGCGGAGGTTACGCTGTATAGTGCCATGGTAGCTGAGTAAGATGGTGACAGGTTGTCTATGGAGGTCACATTTCCTATTGGTGCCATGGCTGATATCGGAGGGGGGGGTTGTCAAACTGTTGGGGAAAAATATGATTTCAGTTACATATAACCTATGAATACATGTAAACATATACACCCTTTCAGTTAAACTTCACAAAAAGTCATACAAGAGATGCCATGCTGCATAACATTTTTCTTGCTGGTATCAAGGGCTTACCTGTAGTTGATATGCGGGAAAATTATTTCATTATTAAAAAAACAATGAGGCTAATAAAGGAACGCCTGCAATGTCAGGTTTTTGGGTCAGATTTTGCTTAAAGTTTCTCAATGTTGTAAGTGATGTGGACCAGATAGAGAGATTGTCCACTGAACAGGAATGTACCTGTACATTAGCCTCTACAGCACTTATCAAATGATGCAGAACCTTCACAACAAGATGTTAGCCGCTGTCAACTGCATTTTAGTACACAGAAACACACAGAAACAAAGAAATCAAATCAACTACCATTGCCTTAACATTCCACAGACTGAACCACTCCTGTGTTAAACCAAAACC